AGAAAGCCTTTCCCACTAAAGTCCATGGCATCCCTTCGAGGATTGTAGCAGGTAGACGCCAAGGCCACCTTGGACATCACTGGTCAGAGCCCCATCAAGGTTTCTTGACCAGGACAAATCTGCTACTTCACTTCTCTGAACCCAGTGTCTTCAGGTGCAAAATGGGGAAAATAACCTTCTCCTAGCAGGGGATTAGATGAGATAATACAGAGGATCAGTGTATGTTTTCAAAAAATGATCAGAGTGCTTAGAGCAAAACACGGTATGTAAAAACCCTCCAGGTGGGCGAGTCCTCCTGAGCCTGCTGTCCCTGGTATAGATAAAGAAACAGGCCCAGCTCCTGCCTCCAGCCAACCTAGGGAGGAAGAGGGTGGGGGATGTGTTTGGAGCCAGAGACGGCCAAGATGGAGGCCCAGCGCTGGCTGGCACCTTTGGGTTCCATGGCAAGGTACCTTGGAAGCCGAGCCTCAGTGTGCCCATCTGTAAAATAAATGGGTTGGACAGAAAGTGTGCCCCACAAAGATGCCTGGGGAGAGAGCTGTGGGCAGAAGGGAGCTACCTGCCCAATTCAGCCTCCAACTAGAGACCATGCTGTGGAGAGCTGCAGGGAGAGCAGAGCCCCTTCTCTGAAGCAGGATTCAGGGATTGGCTCCTGTTGCCAGATGGAGTTAGTGACTAGGGGCCCTGTGGTTTCTCCAGTGAGCCTGGATGCCCTGCCAAACCAGGAGGAGGTGGGGGGTGCAGGGTGGTAATGGGACAGCAATAAAACCCTCTGGGCCCCAAGCCTTATTTTGACCTTGACTCTGCTGACCCAAGGTCAGGGTCTCATCTGTGGGGCTTTGGGGTGGCTTGGGAGTCAGAGGCAGGGGAGGGGCCAATGGTCAATATTGACCTAGCTGAGTCAGGAGAGAGGGATGGGGAAGCTGGAAGGCTGGGGTGGGGCTTGCAGATAACTGGATCTTTCAGCACCAGTGTGATTGTGGGAACTGGGGAAAGGGGTGCTCCATGCAGAATTCCCAAAGTGAGTGCTTACTTAAAACTACAGCTGCCTGGAGCCCTGCCCAGCCTGATGTAGCCTACTCTCTGAGGGAAGGGCCTAAAACATCTGTATTTTTAGTAAACTCCCTGGGTGACTCTGTGGCAGCCAGTCCAGTTCCCATTTTTGGGGACCACGTGTTCAACCCCAGTGTAGTAATAATGACGAAACTGAGATCCAGAGAGAGAAAGTAACTCACCCAAGGTCACACAGTGGAGGGAGGGAGGTTGATGATAATTCTCCCCTTTTTCTTAAGGGGAAGGAATCGTCTACTTCTAGATAGCTTTGTCCACCCCAGCTGTGGCCCAGGGCCCAGGAAAGGATGGGGGGGGCAGGCAGCCCAGAGGTAGGTGACCTCTGAGACCTTGGCACGCCCAGGTGGAGAGGGAGGGTGGGGCTCTTCCGGGAGGAAGGACAAGGAGAGGGGGCCATTCCCACAGGACTGGACCTGCCGGCCTTGCCCTGTGCAAATACTCCCGGCACCTGCTGGGAGATGTTTCCTAAAAGATTTACTATGGCCCCAGCCTGGGGAAGGCGGTCTCCATTGCTGGGGACCCGCCACTCTCTGGAAAGCATGACCTCAGCACAGTAGATGGGGGGCATTTCTGGTCCTCCTGAGCCTCCTCCCCAGCGCCTTTTCCCTGACCCCTCAGCCTTTGCCTTCACTTTAAGCCTCCCCACATGTCAACCTGTCCAGCACCTGCACGAAGCCTCCCCCAAACCCCCAGCTACCGCCATGCGCCTCCTACTCCCTCTTCTGGCTCCCACACACTTTGCACCTCCAGGTCCAGCCCCCATCCCCACCTGCCCTGAGTTCTGGTTCTCTGCATGGCTCTTGCTCACTGCGGGGGTGTCGGGGATCCCTGGGACAGGCACCCAGCCAGCTGCAGCCCGGAACTCAGAGTGGCTAAGATTCAGTCTCACTTTGCTCCCTCACACCCTGGGCCATCTTGGGCTGGTCCTTCACTGTCTGCACCACAGGCTCCTCGTTCACGGAATGAAGAGAAAAGCAGTGCCCAGTAGAGGGGTGAGATCACACATAAAGGAGGCAGGGAGCGCCGATGTTATTGCAGAGGTGGGTTCAGTGCTCAAGCCCCCACAGCACCCAGTTCTCCTTCGTTCCAGCAGCAGGTATCTGCCAGGGGTCTACTCCGTGCAAGAGTGATGACACCTGCGGCATGTGGCCCAAGCATGGACAAGATGCTGTCACGACTTCAAGGAGTGCACAGGTTTGCAGATGCTTGCTAAGTGACTTCAACCCGGAGGGCTACGTGAGGTGGGTGGTAGAGGAGTTGTGGAAGCCCATAGAAGGACCGAACCCGGTGTGTGTTTGGAGAGAGGAGAAGACTTCCCAAGAAGATACCAGAGCTGTGTCCTGAGGGTACGGAAGTGTTGAGCTGAGCAAGAGAATGAGGGGTAGCCCATCCTCTACAGTGGTTTTTGGTGTAAATGGGCAGTGAGGAAGTGGAGACTGTGGTGTAGACAACTGAGACACGAGGCAATAGCTGAGAGGGACAGAGGGCTTCCTAAGAATCAGTCACTATTTGCTCCCGGTCCAGAGACAGGAAATGCAGACCAAGGCATGGGAGACCTTGGAGGTCTGCCCTGGAGCCCTGGCTCTGTGTTGCAAGAAGCCTCTTTGCCTCCCATTGTCTTCATCTTCAGAATAGGGCTGTTGTAAGTGGGACAAGAGGTGTGGTGAAAGGTCTGTGAGCTATAGAAGGTCATGATCCATTAGCTAACAGTGGTGTTTTAAGTGGAGTTGGTACTGTTTGAGAGGTAAAGGATACCTCTTGAGGTCAACTGGGTGTGCCCAGAGCACCGTAGCCCTGAAGGGCCCAAGACATCCTGTAACTTGCTCTTGTGCTTCCACCTGCTGGCAAGTGTCTGCAGTGGCACCCAGGCCTCAAGCCCTTCCTCCTGCCCAGGCAGGAGATCTGGGCTCATGAAAGAAGAGCTGGGTGGTCTGGCACTAAGATTTGCAGGCTCCAGGGCTAGAGTGCAAATGGAAGCCCCCAGGTCCCTGTGCAATCAGCCTTGGCCTCTGCTCTCACTGCTAAGGTCCTCACCTGTGTGTTAGGGGCACACGCCCTATGACATGCCCCCTGGCCACCCCAATTAACAGCAGTGAGGGTAGATTCAGAAAGTGGCTGGTACAAAAATTCTGGAGGCCCAGAACACTAGGAGCGTGGTCTAGAGGGGACTGTGGGCTCCAAAAGGCACATTCCCTTGGCCCTGTGGAATCCAGGCCTCTTAGGGGACATGACTTAGGGCAACCAACATAGTCCTGGTTTGTCCAGGACTATCCTAGACTTAGCACTGAAAGTCCTGTGCCAGCAAACTAGATGGTTGGTCACCCTGTCGTGGTCTGAGGGGAGCCAAAGCCTCTGCATTACCCCCTGGCTCAGCCTGAGCAACTTGGGCTTAGAGAACCAAACTGGCCTCTAAGGTAGCCTCTGATGGCCTGTAGAGCCTCACGCGCCATCCCTCTCTCCAGCCCCAAGGCCCCTGCCCCATGCACTCAGTCCACAGGTCGTTTGTGGGTAAAAAGACCTTTGCTCCTTCAAACCAGTCTCCAGGGGCTCTGAGGCCTGAGAGCTTGTCTGTGAAGTTGGGCTGAGGGTAAAGAAGGGGTTGGGGGGAGCTTCTTGTGGAACAACCTCCTCATTGTACAAGGAACTGACGCCTGGAGAAGACCCTTGCCCCAGGCCCCTGAGGGAGACTTCGCTATTGGCAGTTTGTGACAACCCCTTTGCTTTGTTAAGGGCCCTCCATGTGTCTGAGAGCCCCATCCCTGGCTCTAAGGTTGGGGCATGTGGTCCAGCCATAATCTCACAGTGACTGGCTCAGCCTTGAGCATGTGACAAAGTTGGTCCAGTCAGAATGAAGACCTGGGTTTTTATTTTGCAACTAAGGAGATCTAGAACAGGAAACAAATAACCTCCCAGTGTGCGCCTGACCCAGACAGGGAGACAGCGTGCACAGAAGTTTGTAGCTATTTATTGCACTGAAAACACCAAGAATAAAACAGACGCCCCTCCTTTCCCCCCTCCCCCCCAATAGCAGAAAGTTTGAGCAGTGGTCATTCAAGTTCACAGCCACATATTTTTTAAAACAGAAAAGAAAAAAAGAAAGAACTGAAACAAAACCCCAAACAAATAGTAACAAAGAAACCAGCACGGGGAGTCTGCCAAACACATCCCCCCAGAGGGTCTTCCCTTGAAGGGAGACAGGAGGCCACGGTCAGGGTTAGTGCCATGGTGGGCAGGAACCGGGGAGAACACTTTCCTGTAAACGTGTTTGCATGCTGGAAATTAGGCCTGGTCTTAGGTCTGGATTTTTTGCATCTACAGGATGTTTGGAAGGAGCACAGAGTTGATTGTCCGGGGGGTTGGGGGGAGGGCGAGCTCTGGGCTACTTTGTCTGCTGTCTCCCCCGCCTGCTGCCTCAGGATTACTCTGGTGCCCTGCGGTCCACACCAGCTGGCTGCCCACCCACAGGCGTGGCCTTCCCAGTGGGGCCATCGCAGCCTGGGGTAGGGACCTGCTTCCACTTCCCTGGTAGTTAGAGAGGGACACAGTGGACAGGAAGTGTGTCAGCAAATGAAAGGCAGGACGTTGGGGTCCTCCAGCTCGGTTTCCTCTAGTGGGAAAATGAGGACCGGAGCAGGGAAAGGACTTGCCCAGGGTCACACAGCAAGTCTGGTCAGGGCTGGGAATGGAATCCTAATAACCGCCAAACCGTGGCTCTTGCCCCACAGTCCACTGCTGATAAGCAGTTGACAGGCACCATAGAGGAGAATGGGGGCAGGCGAGGGAGGGGACTGGCCAGGCTCAGAACGGAACAGGAATCCAGCCAGTGACTAACCCTGTCAGTTCTACCACCCCATTGGATTCTCTCATCAGCCCTGCAACACAGGCTGAGCAGGACTATTTAAACCCTTTAACTGATGGGGAAACCAAGGCTGAAGAAGGGACCAGACTTGGCCTTGGTAGTTGCAGCATCCCCTGGTGAAGGCCGCACCTTTGGCTTGGGGATGACTGGGAGCTGGCAGCTCACAGGGAGGCAGCTTTGCTGCTGGGAGGCTGGGATCACTGGGCCTTACTAGGAAGCCCTCTGGGCCTGGGGCAGGCCAAGTGCCCACCCCTGGGCCTCGGCAGCAGGGTCTCTGCCAAGGATAGAGGCCAGTGATCAACCAGTTTGGAGACCAGGAGGCCTGGGCAGCCTCTTTCCTGCCCTGTAGCCCCAACCTGCCTGCCTCACCTGTCCCCCAGGCAGCAGCAATTGAGAGAAGAGCCCAGCAGACAGCCCTCGATCAGGGAAAATTCAGAAAGGTCTCCATCAAACATCCCATCCGTCCTGCTCCACCCACCACCCAGGACTCCCCAGAGGTTTGGGGGGATCAGTGCCTCCTCTAAAGCCTTGGGGATGTGGCTCTTCCTCCCCTAAAATCCTCCAGAGGGGACAATATCTCATGCTGGCAAAACACGGCCACACAGAGGCCAAAAGCACAGAGAGGCAGCAACATATTTCCGAGTCGGACACTGATAATACAACCTCTATTTTTTTTGTCCAAAACACGTAGATTGGTTTTGCTGAGTGATTTTTCTTCTTTTCTGTTTTTTTCAACATACTTACTGCATATAAAGTCATGCAAAGGAAACAGTGCAGACAGTAGGTCCTAGTGGACATGCCAAGGCATTCCACATCAGAGTCAATCCCAGGGAAGAGGGCAAGAGAAAGAAAGAGAAAAGGCGGGCGCGGTGCGAACCCACGGCTGCAGGACGAGGCTTGAAGAGTAGACACTCCGGTGCTCTGCCTGGACCAGCAGACACCAAGGGGCGGCGATGAAGACACATGCTCATGAGCCCACCCCAGGGAGGGGCGGGGACGCTGGGGGTGGCACACAGGAGGCGGGATGAAATCTTGGGAAGCGTGGTAGTGAGAGCCTTGATTTGGGAGGCAAGCAAAGAAAAGTCCAGATATTTCCATCCTGAAAACCTCCCCCACTCTCTCTGCCCTGATTTATTGTTTCTTCTCAGCACTAAAATCTGATTCGGTCCTGAAAAGAACCTCGGGACCAAAATATCAGTGAGGTCCTTCCCACTGGGGCTGTCTACCCGGGCCCTGGGTAACCACTGGTGACAAAGTCCATCTCAGAGGTGACATGAAAAAATAAATAAATAAAGGACTTAGAACAGGAAAAAAAAAATAAAACCTACCCCTCCGCCCTCTTCCCATTTCCTTCCCAACCCAACCCTCCTCACAATAATTGAGAGGTCTAGTTATTACATAAACATCCATTAACGTGAAATCCATTTACGAAACACACAGGGTTTGGCTATAAAAGGCATGCGGTCCATAGAAGTGATAACCTAGGCGTTGCTTTCTTTTGCCCCAAAAAGCAATCGGGTTTTCTCCCTCAGATACGATGAAGCTGGAGTTCCCCGGGCCTGCTGGAGGGGTGGAATGGGCAGTTAGTGTCGGAGGTAAACATCAGAGAAGGAAGGAGAGTGGGGGCACCCTGAGAGGATCGCGCTCCCCACACTGAGGGAGAAGTGCCAGGCGGGGGCGGGAGGGCAGGGCAGGATGGCAGAAGAGTGAGGGGGGCCGTCTGAGGCAGGAGGCTCCTGGCACCTGCCCCTCTCTCCCTGTCTCCCACAGGGGATGTGGGCTCAGGGACTTGGGGGTTCATCTGCCTTTCCCGGGGGATCCTGGAAGAGGGGAGATCAGGGATCTCCTGACTCTGTCTCTCCTCCCCAGCCCCTGGGTGAACACACAGCTGGGCGTTTTGCAGCCAAGGCAAGTTAGGCCAATGACAGCCAGGTGGGGGGTCCTCAGGGCCAGCACCCGGGGCACCTAGGCCTGAGGCAGCTCCGCCCTGGCTGGGGACAGAGACTGAGAATGACAGGTGGGAGGCAGGGAGATGTGGCCATTTGCTCGGAAGACGAGATGGCTTTTGTGGGTAGGTTTCTCGATGCAGGTATGAAGGTGAGGGTGATGGTGGTGGTAGTGGGGTGATGTGATTGAGGGAATTCCAGCAAAATCCAAGGTGGGAGAACCAGCAGTGACATTCCACGGACGATGAGTGGCTCTCTGCAGTCCAGTGCTCCAGCCTGGTCCTTCAACTGCAAGACACGATATGTGCAGCGGGTAATACGAGTGCATCTGAGGGCGCCCCACTTTCTCCCAGCAACCACCCTGGCCCACCTCCTTAGATGGAGGTAGCTGCCGCCTAAGGGACCTGCCCAGCTCTTCTCCTGGGACCTACAGGCCTAGTCTCCTCCTGTGGTCCTCCCGCCCCCACCCCCTGGCCTCCCTTTAGAGTGTCCTAATGACAGAGGCAGGAAGGAGGGGCTCTTACTGGGGCAGGACAGAGGGCGCCCCAGATCTGTGGAAGTGGACGATCTGCCATTTGCCGTCCCGGCGGTGCCAGACGCGGGTCTCCTCCGACTGGGCCGTGCGGGGGATGCCACCAGCGTCCAGGTACTGTGTGATACGAATGTAGGCGATGCAGGCCGACTCGTCGCCCATCAGGTGGATGTGGGGGTTCAAAATGGTGGTGTGCACAGGCTTGCTGTTCCGGGACCACACTGCAGGCGGGGGTGGGAGCGAGCAGAGCAGATGCAACTGAGGGGCCTCCTGCCTCCCTTCCTTCACCCCCCAATCCCAGCAGCATCCCCAGGGGAGGCCCCTCCGCCTGCCTCATTTCCAGAAGAGCAGGCTGTGTGACAGGGCTCAGCCACCTGGGAGCCAGGCAGAACTCCTAGATGACTAGGTCATATCCCAGCTTAGATACAACGGATTTCAGACCCTTTGAAGTCTTCGAGCACAGGGAAATGGAATTTTAGAATCACAGCATCTCAGACACACAGAAAAATAGAACTAAGAGGGTTATAGAATTGTATCAGTTTAGATCAGAGTCTCAAACCCAGATCCCTACAGAGGTCAAGCAAATACATAAACGAGGAGCTGAGCTGGGTATAGGTTGCTAAATGGCAACTGACCATTTGCCTCTGGGTCAAGGACATGATAGGGGGTGGTGGAGGCTGTGGTGAGGAGCTCGCCACGTCCCATCTACAGAGGGCGCCCTGTACATAGCTTCCCTGCTGGTTGCTATGTGAGTAACTGGGACCCATGTTACCACTTTCTGACTTTTCAAGAGCATCTAGAAATCTGGGTTTTTATGCAGAAATGTCTTATTTTTATCAGCACCTAATCCAAATTTAAAACATCATGTAGGCCACATAAAACATATGTGCAGTCCAGATATGGCCTGTGTTCTCAACATGTAGAATTATGGAAACTTGGGGAATATTAAGATTGTAGAATCTTAGAATTTTGGAATTGTAAGGATGGTATTTATGGTCATGGGGTGAGGTCATGGAGCTTTCCAGAGTTAGGGAGAAATGCATAATTCTTAAAATCATGATAGAACTGACAAAAGTATCTGATACTTCTTTCTCTATGGGAAATATTAGCCACCACTATTATTATTATTATTGCCTATTTTGATTCTAGGAACTCTTACTTTTTTTCAGCAAGATAGAAAACAAAACAGACAGATGATGACTGAGTGAGGGGCTGGACAGTGGTCACGGGCATCTTGGGCTCCAGAGTGACCCTTATGCTTTTCCTTAGTGTAGCCCAAATGTAAGCCCAAACTCCACAGAGAGCACATGTCTACCCTTGGAGACTCCAGTTCAAGAATCTGTAGTATTAAGAAGCTCCCATCCCTTTCCCCACCCTATCTGATTCTGATGCCCAGCCAGGTTTTGAGTCACTGATTACCTGAAAAATCTAAAATGTCTTTTTTTGCCTGGCTAGTGTGGCTCAGTTGGTTGGGTGTCATCTTGTGCACCAAAAGGTCACCGGTTAGAGCACATGCCCAGGTTGTGGGTTTAATCCCCAGTTGGGGGCGTGCAGAAGGCAGCCGATTGGTGTTTTGTTCTCACATGGATGTTTCTCTCTCTCCCTCTCTCTTTCTTTCTCTCTCTCTCTCTAAAAAAATTTTTTAAAAAAATCAATACAAAATCTTTATAAAGTAAAATGTCTTTTTTTTTCCCCCCCCAGAAAGCCTCCAATAGTATCCATCCCTAACATTATAATCACACTCTACTCAGGCTTTGGATAAAGGACTCAAAATCACTTAGTTTTAGATACATAGATTAACGGACTTTTACTTTTCTGGACTTGCAGAGAGAATGTACAGCTTTTTGTGTTGTAGGCTTAGGAGTGACCTCAGAGGTCCAAGGTCACCCAGTGGCTCTCCTCCAAAATGCAAGGAAGCCTCCGTAAGCATCCTCAACAGCATCCAGAGCCGAAGGCATTCAAGACAGTCTAGTTCAATGCATCCATTTAGCAGATCTGGAAATTGAGGTCCAGAGAAGCAATCTGACTTGTTCTAAGCTGGGTCCGTTTCTGAAAGAAATGCAGTAGAACCTAAAAGAAATCAGTCTCTATGTGGGACTGAATTAGAGCAATCTAGAACAATTCTAGAAGGGACAATTCTAGAACGGCCAGGAGCAGGCAGATACTCTGGGCCTTGCTCTCGTGGGTCCTTTGACATCACCAGGCGGTCAAGCCGAGAGCTCAGGGGGCTGCTGCTATGACGGGGTGGACTGCCTGGACCCACACCAAGGGCCAGCACGGGCTTCTTTCTGTGTTCTTTATGCTTTTGCCATCCCTGAGCCCTCAGAGTCAGCCCAGCCTAGTCTCTGCTCCACTCTGTGAAGACTGTGGAGTACACACCAGGGACCGAGCACCCCCAAAGGACAGAGCAGTAGAGAGATGGTCGTGGTGATCAGCCAGGGAGCTCCAGGGTGATGGGGACCATTGGGGGTTCAGCTACCTCTCTTCACATGAGAATTCCATTCCCATTGCTAGCCTTGGAGAATCAGAGTTTGGTTGATCAAGAAAAAAAATGCAACTTCCTTCTTCAGAGCTTTGGGGGTCCTCTTAAGCCCCTGTACCCTATAACATTCAGTCAGATTGGGCGCAGGCAGGAGTGCCCAGCTGATGGCTGCTGAGGTGCGGATGAGAGGGACAGCCCATGGAAGGGAAGGGAGCGGCAGTGAGTCAGGGCTGGGGTCTGCCATCAACTTTCTGGGTTCCTTCAGACAAATCACTTCCCCTCTCTGGGCCTCAGTTTCCCCTTCTGTGTGATGAAGAGTCGGACTAGATCCTACTTCAGTCACTTAAATACCACCTTTATTTTAACCTACAAGTGCCACTTGTATATTCCATTAAAGTATTTCCTTATATCAATTCACTTTAATTGATATAAATTTATTTTAAAAATTTCTAGCACGAGCATTAGTGAACTACCAGTATCACAGAACACAATTTTAATCAGTCCAGCAAAAATGAAATGAAGTTACGTAATCCTAGCTCCACACTCCTGCCTGCAAGACATCTGAGCCTGAGACGGCTCTCTTTGATGAAGAGGGAAATTGGAAAGTGTTAAGAGGCGTTCAAGACAGACTAGCACCCAACTGAGCCTTTCCCCTCGATGGAGCCAGGCGCATTGAAAGAGAATTTTAAAGGGACCAACTTCCTCACTGTGAGAACCAATGTGGTTTTAAACAGTGCTCACGTGCACTGGAAATCATCTGCTGAAGCCTCAGTGGTACATGCCTTCCCTTTGGAAGGCCCTGGATATGTCACCTCTCAAGGCCTTCCTCCGAGTCCTGAGCTGCACGATCCTAACCTGCACGTGCTTTGGTTCATTCCCGTCTGACCCCTGGCCAAGGTGAGACATGGACACAGGCAGAAAGCATCCGAGGTCAGGCCCAGCCTCAGCCCCCAACAGCCCCTGGTTGCAAAGCTGCCTGGTCTCTCCTGCAGAGGAGAAGCCTGGAAAGGACAGACATGCGGACAGAGACCTGGACAAACAGGCAGGGCACAGCAGTGTGAGCTCGGGGCCTTTCCTCCTCCCCAGATTGCCCACCCAGAGGGAGCACTTGCATAACAACCCATGAGCCAGCTTGTGACCAGTTGGGCAGCTGGGGTGGCCCCAGGTGTCAAGATGACTGTAACTTGGGTGTGAGCCCTTGTGGGAAGGCTTCCCTATCTGTAAAATGGGAATAAGCCCTCCCCAGACCCTTCCTGGGGAGAGTCACAGGCAGGAGAGGGCTGGGAGGGCTTGCCAGGCTTTAATCCCAGGCCCCCACCCTCAGCCACAGGAGGGGCATCTGGCCGTCAGATGGGCCAGGGTTAGGAGGGGGAACGAAGATGGTACCAACCCCTGTCCACACAGGATCTTCCTCTTAGCTGGCTCCTGAGCCGCCCCACAGGCTCTGCCTGTCACCCTGCTGTGCCATCCAGCAGGACACCGAACGAGAGCAGACAACAGGCACCCCAGACAGAAGGAATTGCTCACGGTTTTCAAAATAGAATCGATGGAAGTCCAGGCCCTCGACCAGGTTCCCCAGGGCCTCGGGTTCGAAGGCTGTCATCCCGGGGTCACACATCTTCCTGGGGGGAGGAAGTCAGAGGAAAGAGGGGCTGGGGTGGCCTCTCAGAGCCACCCTCTCATTCGGGGGCCTGGACCCAAGGAGGATGAGCCTGTAAAATTGGAGTAATTGCACCCACCTCACAAGATCAATGAAGCTGATGGATGGGGAAGGGGCTTGGGGACTGTGCAGTGTGGGGCATCACTGACTGGCTGGTGCCATTCAGAACCTGGAGGCTTTGGGTCAGGCCCTGGCTCTCCCATTTGCCCAGCAGGTGGCTTAACTTCTCCAAGCAAGAGCACAATGAATGGCATGCAGAGTGCGCCCTACACAGGTCAGCCTGGAGGCTACTCTCCAAATTGCATCCCATCCTCCCACTCCTGCCCAGGGCAGCAGAGCCTGGGGGGGGAGGGGGGGTGAGGGTCCTGATTTGTCTTCTTGGGAAGGGGACCTTTCCCTTCACATTAAAATGACTTCTGCTCACCAAGAAGGTCTATCCCTAGAGAGGGTACGTTTTGCTACTTTAAACAAAGATGCCCCATGGGTAGCAGCCCCCCTCACTGTGAGCCTGTTCCCTCTTCTGCGAGGTGAGGAAAACAGCACCCACAAAGCAATGCCTGGGAGGAAGGGGCAGGGCGTGGAGCGGCAGGGGAGGCCCTCGGCTGTCTATTTTCAGGGCAGTGCTCCTTTCCAGGTCTCAGTCTTCCGGAGACCCTGACAGCTGGGTTGGGGAAGGGAAAAACTGTCTTCCCCACTCCCAGGTCTCTGTGGCACAACATGGACTCCTGTGACAATGACAATGAAGCCACAGACAGAAAGTACCCCTGGAAAAGAAAAGACCCCAATCTGGGGAGGAACTGGAGACACGTGGAGGAGGGCATCAGGCTCAACATATTCTGAGCTGGACACCATGGTGAGTACAGGGCACTCTGTCCCTGTGCCTCCCAGACTGTCCTGTCAGTGTGACCCCAGGCAACCAGCTTTTCTACTTGGACTTCAATTTCTCCAGGCGGATTAACCAGGGGCTGGGGCTGTGCTCAGACCACATGGGATGCTCAGGATCCTTCCAACAGCAGAATCCTCCAAGGCTGGAGGTCAGAGTTCTGAGCACCATTACAGAAGCCCCTCTCCAGGAGGTCTCTGGGCATCCCTTCTTCTGAAGGAGACCATCTACCCCAACTTCATTGTACACGTAGAGAAACCAAGGCTCATGATATGAAGGGGCTTATCCAGGGTTATACAGGGCCAGACTCAGGGTACCACTGGCCCCAGAGGTCATGGCAGAGGGTCAGACCTAGAGTAAACTACAGATGCCAGAGGAAGGGACATCACAGAGGGACATTACAGAGATGGGAACAGTCTCCAGAAATGGCACTGGGAGTCCTGGGGTCCACAGGAGCCACCTCTCTTTCCCTCCTTCCCTGGCTCTCCCATGGCTGCCTTAACTCTTTCTAGGGCTGGATGCAAAACCTGTTTAACAGCACATTTCCATGCTTTCATGTGATACCCAGTGCACACGCACCTCTGCACACCCCTGTGCACACAATCACAAATGTGCATGCATGGACAAGTGCACACACACACATACATGTAGCCCCAGTCTCACACCTGAGCCTTCCAAAGTCCTGTTCCTCCAGAGATAACCAGTAGATTACTGGGGCTTTGCCACCCATCGCTGCAGAAACCTTCCCGCAGTGGCCTGTAGGCCTTTGGGAGACACACTTCAGCTCCTGGGCACAGTGGAAACCAAAAACAGGCTGCCCCAGGAGCAAACCCCAGCCTGGTTGTTCCCATCTCACCTGAACCCAACAGGCAAGGGTCATTCTGCCTTAGTTAGCAGGTTTTGTCCACTGAAAAACATATGTGGGATCTCCAGGCCCGACTTTGTAAGCCCTGGCCAAGAGATTGAGGCCTCGCCCGAATCCTTGCTCCGCCTGGAGACAGCTGGAGGCGGCCTCGGGGCCTGCTTCTGGGCCAGACCAGGAAGAGTGTGACCACCAGGGGGCGCCCCAGCTCAGCCTTTGCACACAGCGGCCCCTCCAAGGGCTGGCCCAGGTGTGCAGAGAACATCTTACGCCACCTGTTTCCTTTTATGTTATTTTTGTGCACACAGTCTTATACCCCAGAGGATTTAAGGTTCCATTTTGAGGCTCTTTTGCTCACCCTTGCTCACTGGAGGTACACACCCTATGGATGCCTGCCCACTCCTGTCCAGCTGAGGTCAGAGGCCTGAGAAAGGCCAGGGTGAGACCCAGGCCCACACGTCAAGACTAAGGAGGGACCTGCCTCCCTCCCCTGCCCCCAGCTCAACTCCCAAAGAGGCCCGCGCTGTGGTGGAGAGCACCCCCTCTTTCCTTGGGGAAGCAAAAGAGCCTTGTAGGAGTTTCTCCTGGGGAACGAGATAGGAAGAGCAGGAGGAGCAGGGCTAAGGTATAGAGAAGCATTTTCAACAGGAAGCTTAATAAAAGCATAAAATCTGAAAGCGAAACAGAACCACGAGTTCATTCTGATTCACAGCACATGCAGAGTGAGTGACTGAGGGTCAGAGATGCGGACCCCCAAATTAGTCATCAGCCCCCCGAACAACAATCCAGGCAGGACATGCAGGATGGGCCCAGCCGACTCACGTGTAGGACTCAAAATCTCCATTGCTTATGGCTTCAATCAGCTGCTCTGTCACTTTTATAATTTCCTGTTTCCGCACTGTAAGGCAGGAGGGGACACAGAAATAGTAGCAATTGTGACAGTAATGAAGCGCCAACTACCATTTCCTGAGTCCTCATCATGTGCCAGACCCTGGACCGGGACCTGAGGGCCTCATATACATTGTCTCATTTATCCTCACAGTAGCCATGACAAGTCGACATCATTACTCCCATTTCACAGAAGAAGAAACTGAGGCCCAGAAAAGTTAAAAGGTATGAAAGTACCCTCAGCTACAAAGGACAGAGCCAGTGTCTTAGCTGGCAGCCTTTGCCTCCAAAAAGCAGCCATGGTGGGCATTCTGATCTTGGGCCTGTTTTGACTCCAAAATACACTTCCCTATCACCTTGCTTTACCCCCTGAATCAAAACAACAACTGTGGCAGTTGTCACTAGCAGCCATAAACCAGGGGCTCCCCCATGGCCCAAACTGGGGCCACTAAGGAAAGTCCCAGGGCTTATTCATCCCTTTAGTCTGGGGGAGCTTTTTGTTCCACTTGGGTGCCTATAGAAATCAGGCACTGAGCTTTCCAGAACTTTCTAGGCATAATGAATCCCAGTTGCTGAGACCTGGCCTTCCCAGCCACCACAGAAATAACACAAACAGCTGCTGTCTTTCTGGTAGAGCGTTAGATGTCACTTTTCTTATTATATGTGTGATGTCTGAGCCCCAGTTTTCCCATCAGTAAAATGGGGACAACATTACCTCTCATTCATTCAAAGCCAAAAGTATCATGGAAAGAACCCAGGCTTCAGTACCAGACAGGCTTCATCTACATTCCAACCCAGGCCTTGGCCAGTGTGGCTCAGTTGGTTGAGTGTCTTTGCATGCACCGAAAGGTTACCGGTTTCATTCCCAGTCAGGGCACATGCCCGGGTTCCGGTCTCGATCCCCCGTTGGGGGTGTGAGGGAGGCAGCCCATCGATGTTTCACTCTCACATCGATGCTTCTGTCCCTCTCCCTCTCCCTTCCTCTCTCTCTAAAGGTCAATAAAGAAAAAAAATCTCTGAGGCAATTATAGGTAGAAGGACCTTTCATTGTAAGCTGTCCTCTTTTAAAAAATTCAATCAATCAATAAATAACTTCCAACCCAGGCCCTTACAAGGCGTGCAACTGTGGGCCACAAGGCTGTTCCTGGTTTGTCCGATGAGATGACCGTGCTCCCCTCCTGGGGTTGGCGTGAAGGTGGGGTGAAGTGAGCATGAAGCAATCAGACTAAAGCCTGGCACACAGTAGGTACACGGTGTAAGTGCCATCTCCTGCATCCTGAGGGTTGCCACATGTGCTCCTCATAGACACCCTGGGAGCTGCGCGGTGCGCCAGTTTCCCCCGGCTGACACCCGAGGAGGCTAAGCCTCAGTAACGAAGGAATTCGAAGTCAGGCGTCCTGGCTCCTAGAAGGACAGTCCTACCAGAAGCTTCACATGGGTTCCTGAAGGCACACCCTCCTCCGCCCCTCCCCCAGGCTCAAGCTCAGCTCCTAATCCCTTCAGCCCATTGGAGCAGCCTCAGGCTAGGTAGATGGACTCGTAGCCCATTTCCCAGTCTGGGAATGTGGGAGAGAACTCATGCCTGGCTGAGGCCCTGTCCCTGGCCTTTCCCTCATCACTGCCCATGACACCCCACCTCATCTCATACCAGGAGCTCACCTCAGACCCAGAGGACACGGAGTCACAGAACAGCCAGGCTGGGAGAACCCCTGGAGACCAGGGACTCAGCCTCCTAATCAAACTGTTGGGGAAACGGAGGCCAGGTATAGGGTTGTGACTTGCCCAAGGACACAGAACAGACAGGGTGCAGTTTGGCTCCCAGCTCAGGACCTTTTCCACAGAACCCCGGCACCCCAACACATCCCCTGACACATTGGGCCTGTCTGCTTCCATTCCCCAACTCAAATACTAGTTCCATGGAGGCTGGGCCATGGCTGCCCTTGGCAGCTGGATTCCAGGAGCCTAGAACAGGCCTGCCCTCTTGGGAACTCGTTATTAAATAAATGAGTGCCCCAGGCATTGTGCTGTGTGCTCAGCCTGCAGAATCTTGAAGGCTCACAGCACAACCTCATGTGGCTATCACTTCCACATCAAAGACAAGCAAATTGGAAGTGAGAGAAGTCAGATAGTCTGTACCGGTGGACCAGCTGCCCAGCATTTGCAGTTCCAAAGCCCATCACACTCTCCCCCGCAGCACATGCCTCTCAGGGCAGGGGCCCCTGCCCAGAACAGCTCCTGGCACATGGTGGGCGCTAAGCAGACACAGCAATTATCATCTTCAATGTCAGTTAACCACTGTGAACGACAAATTATTTTTCTCTTGGCTCCGCTAAGAATCACCAGGGCTGGGAATGAGTCCATCTTAGACCATGAGCTCTGCCAGGTCACTCTGGGGCCTTGCCTGGGGCTGGGGCAGAGGTGGCAGGAATGAATGAATGAGTGGATGGCACCAAACCAGGGTCTAGGGCTGCTGTCTTTGCCCTGTTTCCTGGAATTGACCAAGTCTCCTGGTGGCCTCTTTGACTGGGAGCCCAAGAGCCCAGCCTCCTGGTCAGCTCTGCCCTCCTTCATGGAAGCTGGAGACTGAGGATGGAAGAAACCCACCCCTGCCAAGAGACACCACGTTCCAGCCTCTCCCACGTGGAATCAAGGTGATGACCCAGAGCGAGTCCATGTGCTCATGGCAGTCGTGGGACCTGTGCCACCTCCCTTGCTGCCTATGTTTGGACTGTAAGAACACTTCCAGCTTGACATCCCGTGAGCCTGTGCTTCATGCCCCATCTCCTGTGGGCTGCTTCTCATGCCAACTCAGAGAGGCTGGCAAAGTGGTCAAAGGCATGGGTTCCAGAGCAGACTCCCTGGATTTGGATCCTATCTCTGCTTCTTAATAACTGCGGGACCCTGGGCAAGGGATTTCCCCATGCCTCAGTTTCCCCATATGTATAGTGGAGCTACTAATAGCACTTACCTTATAGGGTGGATCTGAGGATTATGTAAATTCAGAATATACCAAAAGAAACAGCTGATACTAAGAGCCAGCTACTGTCTAAGCCTTTTATCAGCTTCTTTATGTAATTAATGATGCAATATGTCAAGCACTTAGAGCAGCATCAGGCACTCCACAAATGAGAGCTGTGGTTATTATCACATGCAAGTCTCTAAACTGGAAGCTCCTCCTGAGGATAGTCTCCTTCCCAGCAGCTTAATATGTGACAGTTCCATCGCGGTTGGCATTTGGGGGCTTGCAGCCTACTGGGCAGCCCACTGCACTGTTGGACAGCTCTCACCATTGGTGCCTGCCTCCTTCTTCCGAGTTGAAATCTGTTGCTCTGGAAGCCCCTAGCTACAGTTCTGGTCCCTTTCTGCCTTCTGGGGCCCTGCACTGAGTGCCTGCTCCCCTGGACTTACGCTCTTCCCCCCACCAGTCTTCTCTCCTCAGGGCTGAAGGCCTCCAGGATGTGGTTTGCAGGATCTGACTCAAGTGGACCGTCTACTCTTCAAAGGCCTCATGAGTGTAAGCACACAATCCCAGGTGTGGCTTGGATATTACACAGTATCAGGTCTGGAGTAGCACTCTCTATCCCCTCCCATTCTGGACACTATACCTCTATTAATGCAGCCCAAGACAGTGCCTAACTTGGCTTTGCCTCTAGCCACTCAGGACACCGATTATGCCAACAGTCAAAGCCTAGTGGGCAGGAATTTCTCTAGCTTCATTCTCTGGAACAAAAGATCTCCACTCCTTAAATCTGGAGAAATTCACTCTGGTTCTGGGCCCCTCTCATGCCCTCAGCTATCCCATTGCTATGTGAGGGGTTCATTCAGCAGCTTCCAGGTATTCACTCAGGCAGTGCAGGAGTGCTCCCCTACAGATGGGAAAGCTGAAGCCCCAGAGAGGTTAAGGCACTCCCTCAAGGTCACACAGCATGCCGAGGCTGAGATGGGATCAGCATTCCTGGCTGATATTCCCCAGAATGTCTCTGCCGAGGTTCTGAGGCAGCTTTTCGGGTTGCAGAGGAAATTAATTATTCGTGGAGCTGACCAGGAGGAGGTAGGGGAGTGGGGAGAAAGCCAGGCAGAGCCCGGTGAAATTTGGAGGGTGAGAGGCGTGTGCATGAAGCCTGAGGTGCTCTGAAATATTAATGTCCCTTTCCTTGCTCAGGGGAAAATGTTCCCTGGAGGATGACATTTCTAATTAACTTTAATGTTAGGTCAGAATCCACCCCACCAGCTGCTATTCTCACTTAGGAAGAAGTCTTAACAAATCAACACCAGAAAACGGTTCTCTGGAAGGTTTCCTCTTTCCTGCCAAATATGGGAAAAGCTCCTGGCTGAACCAGTGTCTCTTCCATCAGACATGGCCTTCTACATGTGGGGAAACTGAGGCAGGGAATGGGTTCTAGTTCTGCCATTAATAACCCAATGTGCCCTTCCTCCACCCTGAGCCTCTGATTTCCTCCTGTAAAAGGGGTTTAGCCCTGGCCAGTGTGGCTCAGTTGGTTGGAGCTTCATCCTGTGCACCAGAAGGTCACAGGTTGGATCCTCGGCAGGGTGTGTGCGGGGGGCAACCACCCAATCTATCTCTCTCACATTGATGTTTTTCTCTCTCTCTCTTTCCCTTCCTCCCTAAGTCAGTAAAAATAATTTTTAAAATTTTTAAAATAAAGAAAAAAGGGGGGGCCTAAATGAACCAAATAAATTTCAAGGCTTTACAAATTTTCCCATTCTGTTCCTTCTAAAACAGAGAATTATGATTGTAAATGTGAGGCCTCAGGGGTGCAGCCCAGAGCCATTACCCCAGGTGGAAAATGTTTTTGGCAGCTCATATTTTATATTAATAGTGCATACAAAACTTACATTCTCTTCCAAATATTTCTGTCTGTTTAATATATAAATATTTGCCTTAAAATAATCTTTCGGTAAAATTGATGTTCCAAAAATGGCATGTGGCTTCCTGTTAACCACAAGCTCTTGTTAAAAAAAAAAAAAAAATTAAGATTTATTAAACAATTACCATGTGCCAAACACTGTCTAAGCACTTTATATGCAGCCCTCACTTCATCTTTATAGCAGTCCTCTGAGGTTGAAACTATTATCATCACCTTTTTATTGTTAAGGAAACCGAGGCTCAGAGAGGTTGAGTAAGTTGCCCAAGGCCAACCAGCAAATGGACCCCAGTGGAGAAGCACAGAGCTAGCTCGCCAATATGGTCCCTGTCTGCTCTGAGACCAAGATTATGGGGCCATAGTTAGTCTCCTCAAAATTCCAATCTTACCATCAGGACAGCAAGCCTCAAATACGGAGACCATCATAGAAACGCCATGTCTCAGCCCAACACAAAACTACAGAATGGAAATCCACTGGGGCAGGGCCAGGATGTGGTTAGAGAATCATACTTGAGGGACTTAGATTGCTGACATGACCCTAACATAGAATTCTTCTTTAAGACAAGCATTTTTAAAGGTTGGCACTAGTGCCTACATAGAAAATTGCTCTGCTGTAGTGCCAGGCTATGGCGTTAGTGACCCTCTCCCGCCTTTCCGCCAGCTGGGACTGACCAGAGAGGGCCATAGACAGGGTGGGGCTAATCTCCCAGGGCATCCTGGCAGAGTCTGGAGGTAGTCATGGCACTTATTGTATCAAAAGTGCCTTGAAGCCTGGCTTACAATTGTGCAGAAATATTTATTACATATTAAAACGCTCTTTTCCCCATCATTGTATTCTTCTAGAGGCGAATTATCTAAACCACTGGAAAATGTCTAAACTGGTATAGCAGTGATCTCTCCAGGTCAACAGTGTTTTTCTAGGTTTCAGAGACTCCCAGGCATCTCTGACACATGCCCACATGTGAGATCCCTTGCACTCTCTGGTCTCCCTGTCCCAGGGGCATGACAGAACACAGAATGCCACCAACTCATCCAAGGGTTTAGTGTCACTTGAGCAGATGACAACACTCCCTCCTCCCTCCTCTAAGCTCCATGCACACTTTCCACACACCAAGGCCTCCAGAGTGGTGGTTACGAGCCAGGCCCTGGAGCCACACTGCCTGGGTTCAAATCCTGACTCCACCCTTACCAGCTGTGGGACGTGGGACAATGGACTCAACTCCTCTGCTTCCAGGGCTGTAGAATGGGGTTAATGACAGCACCTACCCCATCAGCTTGTTATGAAGCTCAGGTCAATGTGAAGCACTTCCAGTCTAGCCCACAGAGAGCGTCCCATAAAAGGCAGCAATGTTCCTGTTCCTGTCCTGATTATTTCCTCTCTTACTGTCCGATCACAATTATCCGGCTGTTCCCTCCCTCGTCCCTCTGAGGGCTCCCTGTTAGTCAGGCCGCAGTCGCTCCTGCATTCCTGGCTGCTCCCAGGCAGGGTTTCCCATGCTTCCCATACAACTGAACTTTCTGTATTTTTGCTGTCTCTTCCCTAACGATTATGACTTCATGTTTTCAAAATCAGCACCCTTAAAAAAAGGCAAAACCGCTTACTTCAAAAGGAAAACGCGTACCACTGTGATACATTTACGACATGAAGATGTTAAATTAGTTTTTTTTTAACACATAGTAAAGTAAATGCATAACCCCTACAATGAGAAAAGTCTGGCTATGTACCACTGGTGTATCCCATGGCAGGAACAGTGTACTCAGTCTGGAAGGAACCAAAGTGAGGTTCTGTGCAGAGCAGCAGGACACAAGGTTGGCGCTGGGGCCCTCTCCAGCCAGGGGCTGTCAGGGAAGGGGGCCTGAGGTGGCCTGGGGGCCCAGACGCCAAAGGCAAGGCCCCCCCTACCTTTGGTGTCTTCGTCCTCAATGGTGGTGTTGGTGCTCTCTGAAGATTCCTGCCAGAGAGAACAGGGAGGCGGTGAGGCTGGCCTGGCCAGCAGGAGGAACGCGGCCAGTGGGGGTGCCCCACTGCCTGACACTGTCGCCCAGTTTCTGTAAGTCTCACTGGCTCTGCCATCCGGATGCTCCCCTGAAAGCCCTGTCAGACTCCCGAGCCTAAGGAGGGGAAGGGCCTAGCTTAGCAGGAGGCTGGCGGTGAGGGCGTGGGTGGAGGGATGGATGCAAGGAGAACCCTGGCCTTGCTGGAAGGGCTGGGAGGGGTACCTGCGCCCTTTCTGCTTGACGGGTCAAAGAGGGGGTGCAGAGGGGCAGAGAGGCACATGGTGGCCACAGAGTGGGGAAGGAATACACACATTGGCAGGAGAGGAAGAGAGAGAGAGAGAGGGAGGCCCAGTGTGAGAGAGCTGGGCTTTTCAGGGGGGAAAAACCACACAATTGAGGGAGACAGCGATGGAATTAGAAGAAGAGGGGCGTGGGCCACCATGCCACCACTGGAACGTTTAGACAGAGGCAGGAACTGGTGGCTCCCCTGCCACCGGCGGGCCCTGTGTTAGCCTTGCTCAAGAAGGGCCTCTACGGCACCCACTACTTTGGCCAAACCAAGCCCCTCCACCCCTCGCCACAACTGGCATAAGCCAAGCCCTGAGATGAGTTCCAGAGCAGAGGGCGGGGAGAAGCGAGAAGCCAAGGGCTGGATGTGGGGTGGGGTCAAATCAACCTTCACACCCGACCGAGTTCTCAGGTCTACTGTCAGGCTGCTGGTCTGGGCCATGGAGTTGGAGGTGTCAACAGAAACACGCCAACAACACGCACACGCAACACACATATTGTCACACGAGGCACACGTACCAAGCACGCCCTGAGCACCCTCTCCCCGCCCCGGGTTCCCAGTGCAGCCTGCAGGAGGGAGGCAGGAGCGAGGGGTCGAGGCCCAGCATTTACCGGCGTTTGAGAGACGGCAGACACTCACCATTAACTGAACGCTGGAACTGGACTTTCTTTTCTGGAAAAACAAGGAGAAGAGATGGGACAGGAAAAGACACAGCGTGAAAACGGCAGGGAGCAGAGAAAACGAATGACAGGGGAAGTTTGGAAGGAGGATGGGCCTCGGGGTCATCCTCTGTGGTCCCTTGCCTACAGGGCATGTGGGCAAGGAGTCAGGGCCACCAGCACCAGCTGACCTGGTGGGACCGGTCCTCTCAGCCTGAAGTTCTGGGGCCTTGTGCACAGCTGCCTGGCTCTCACAGCCCAGTCGCCAAGTTCCAGGTCAAGCCTCCCTTGGACCAGGGCTCCCTCTGCACCAAGCTCTGACGGGGGAAGTCAACCCTGGGTGTCAGATGCCAGTAGCCTAAGGCCTCCAGAATGCAAAGCTCTTGAAGGGTAAAAGGGTGCTCAGCTCTGGGGATGAGGTCCAGCCTCTCCTCCGAGACTCCCCGTGCATCTCTGCTGAAAGGACTCCAAGTGGCATAGTCACTTGGGAAACTTGTCAAAAACACACGTAATCAAGCCCCTTCAAGGAGTTTGGTAACTCACTCTGGGGTGGGACCTGGGGGTCTCTACTTGAAACAATATCTCCAGGAGATTCCAGAGTAGGGCCAGCCTTGGGAACCAGTCCTCTACGTGGCCTTTGAAATTCTGCTTGTGTCCCCAGCTTCCCAGTGACTGACCTAGCCAGCTCCTTTATGCTGAGAGAGAAGGCAAGGCACAGCCAGACACACAGCGGTGCCCAGAATTTGAGACTCTGGGCCCTGCCATTCAGCCTATTCTAGCTTTGGGGGAGTTTGTAGCTTTCCCTGTATTACTGGCCATGGAACTAAGGGAAGGAGAGAGAGAGGACAAGGGTAGATTATCTTTTCCTTCTCTCAGACCTAAGCCAAGAGTCTAAAAGACTCACATTCATAGAGGGTTGCAGGTCAAGACTGACACTTGAATTGAACAGATGAGAAACTGGGGCCCAGAGATGGGCAGTGATCTGCTCAAGGTCTCTCAGTCTCTCAGGCTGCTAGCAGAGCAGAGGCCGGAACCCCTGAGTGCCGCTCTCTCCTCTGTCCAGGCCTCAGGCACCCACAGTCTGGCTGTTCTTCAAAGGCTTATTCTTCCCAGACCATTTACATCTGAGGCCAGAAGGCTGCTCTCCTTGCTCTGCTGGGTGGATGGGGACAGATGAGGGACTTGAGATGCCCTTGGGGTAGGCCTGCCAGGGAGAGGCACAATCTTCTCTGAGGGCCCTCAAGTCTAATTCTGGGCTTTCTTACTCCAAAGCCCAAGAGCCCCTGAGTGCCAGGAGCCTGAGATCTTGTGCTTTCCATCCAGGGCCTCCTCAGACATGGCAGGGGTGGCTCACGGGGCATTTCTAGTGTAAATGCTGCAGCTGGGCAGGACAGCGTGGCTTCCAAAGCCAGCAGTCTGCAGACAGTCCTGCCTCTTCTCTCCTCTCTTCCCCTCTCCATCTAGAGTCAGCCTCACTCCTGGATGGAGCCAAACCAGGCACAGTGGGAAAGGACAAGCCCTCTCAGCTGGGCTGTCAGCAGAAACCTGAGGAGTGGCCCGGGGGACCAGGAGGTTCCAGGCAGGACACGAGGAGGGAACATAGAGCAGAGACTGCGTCAGATTCGGACGTACAGTGACAGGATGGGACATGGGGGAGAGAAGTCACAATGGCACGCATGGGACACCAACAGGGGCAGTGAGTGGAGTTGAGGGGTGGGAGCAGTCGGCCCCTCCTCATAGCAGTAGAGGCCTCAGGGTGATTGGGAGAGGGCATCACTTCTTGGTGACAGAAAGACTCAATTTCCCTGAGTCACAAATGATGATGATATTAATCATAACCCTCACTGACTGGCAAGTTCGAGTATAATTTACAAGGGGCTTTCACCAAAAGTAGAGTCACATTTCTTAGAACCACCTGGAAAAAGCATGGTTCTAAGGTTAGCAAGGATGGTAGAAATGAAGTATGGTCAAAATTAGCCTTGAAAAGCCATTAAAGCCCATAAAGTACAGTATTGTGTCATATCTCTAACTCCAATTGGCCAGCTGTCCTCCAGAGGTGGGACCAACCCCCACTTCTTCAGTAAAGCCCTAGATGGAATCGGTCATTAGTCTCTGGAACGATGTTGTAGGAAGAATCTGTACTTCCCCACTTTGGCTGAACATGTGTCATTTAAAAAAGCACTCGATGACTCCGCGATGACTCCACCAGGCCCTGCAAGCCCCATTCTCCCCTTGCACAGATGACAGAAGTGATGACTCAGGTCCCCAAGGGAGGGGACGGTGGGCCTAGACTCAAACCCTTTACTTCTTGACTAGATTCAGTTTTACTCACGGGGAAAACAGGACTGGACCCCCAGAGTGACATTGCAGACAGGGTGCTTTGAATCCCGGGCAAGGCCCCTGGGTGACTTCTTCCAGCTGGCCTTCCCCCTTTGCTACCCCAAGGAAGGGAAGGGGGCTGTGCTACAGAGGGACGGTCAGGGCAGGAATAGCCTCTGAGCTTCTGTTCATCCATACCCAGGCCACCCTGAGAAGTCATTCAGGGTCTGTCTTAGCTGCTGGAAGGAGAGACACTTTCTTCAGCTGCACCCACAGGAAAGCCCTGCAGGGATTAGCTAGAGCCCCACCATGTCATGTCCTTGCCCTGGGATAGTCTCTGACTCCTGGCCTTGCTTGGAAAAGAGCCAGACCAGAGCTTTGTCCCCAGACCCTGTCTGAGAGAGGCCTTGACCTCACACCAGTGGCTCTGAGTTAGCCTTTGCCAGGGCCACACCACAAGCCAAGCAGATGGGGACAACCCTCCCTCTGCCCCCTCCTCCTCCACTGACCTGGGCACACCAGCTGCTCTGGCCTCTGCCCCAATTTTCCCCAGGGAACCCAGCACCCCAGTGTTTACCAACAAGGGCCAGAGAGAGCTCTGGCTGCTCCCAACTTNTGCTCCCAACTGGGCCATCCCCACATCACACATCTCCCCATTACCCCTTCAAATGAGTGGGTTGGGGGAATGACTCCTGAGTAACTCAAAACAAGAGGTGAACCAAAACTCAATTCTGACTCCCATGACAGGATTCGGGAGGTGTGCATGTTAACTTTAGAAAGTGGGTCAGCTTTAGATCTGTGGATTACCAAATATTTTCTTGAGCAAACTTTGTTTCCAAAACAAATCTTAACCTGGAAGTCCAATATATAGACCACTGACCAGCACCTCGTGAGCCTGCATTGCACGCCCTGCACCGCGCTAAGTCCCACACACACATGGCCTTGGCTCATTCTCACAAGCAGCCTGCGAGGTAGCATCCGCTTTACCCCCATTGCCTGAATGAGGAAACGCAGGCTCAGGGGATTCAAATAACCAGCCAAGGTCTGCGGCTGCTAAGCCCGCCCAGGCTCTCTCAACCACGGTGCTGGCTGCTACATGGAGGCTTTCTGGTTGAAATGTGCATGGGATGCCCAGAACCCCCCCCCCTTGTAATC